GCGAGCGGCGCGGGAGCGAGCGGCGCGACCCCTCGCTCAGCGGAAGAAGCAGAGGCCGGTTGGGGCGGAGGCGGCCGGCCAACAGGGGTCTCGAGTACTGGGCGCGCGCTGGCATGCGAGCACGCGCGGGCGGCCTGGACGGTTCCTGGGCAACCGCCCCTCCTGGCGCGGGGTCCGCGCAAAGCCCATCAAGGTCTCACGCTCCTCCTCCCCGCGCGGCCCTGCCTTCTTCCTGTCACCCTCGTCCAACCCTTGGTCACGTGAGGACCGGCTTTTCTAGGAGAGGCCTGCGGGCGGGGGAAACTGAGGCCGGGCGCCCGACCTGCGCGACCCCGCGTGGGAGCGGCGCCCGGTGCCCGCGCGCAACGCAGGCCGGCCCAGGCCAGGTCCGGTCGCAGATTCGCGGGTCCGAACTCTGCCCGCCGAAGGGCCGTCCAGCTGTGCGGCTGCCCCGCCGCCCCATGGCATCCCGCCTGGGAGCGGTCCGCGTCGCCCTAGAAAGCGCCTTCTGGGTTTGTTTCCATTTTTAGCCGGGCGTGTGGCGTGCTGTCACCGACCTTCCTGCAGCTGCGCGAAGGTGTTTTCTGCAGGCGAAACCTAAAGCGCTGGATCCCCGTTCTGTGCACCGAACATTTTCACTCCACTAACGAGAAACAGAGTCTCTGGACCCTGACACAGCTCCGTGTGGTTATTTGCACTCTTACAAGCTTGGAGCGGGTTATGAGGCGAGCTCCCATGGTAACCCTGGGCCCGCTCCAAGTCCTCCTGTTTCATAAAAGCATTCAGTGTGCTGTCATCGGGACCTTGGCGTGTGGGATTCCTCCCCAACACATCCATTCTGGCATTCCCGCCCCATCCCCCAGGGAGACTAATTTAAACATTTCCTAGGCTTTATTAATTTTCAAGGGAGAAAGATTTCTCACATCAGGTTAAGAAGGAGATTCTGACTCAGCAGCAGGCTTGTTGAGGCTTGCAAAATGGAAGGGGAGAGAGAGCTTTCCACCGCAGTGCTCTCTCAGGAGCACTGAAAGGATCGGATCCTGTGTATTTCCCTTCCTATGGAAACATTTTACATAGAGAAAAGTGGTTGAAGGTGTCCATAAAGAACGCAGTGATCCATACTACATAAGATATGCAGTTCATATTCCTGTTTCACAATTTTAACTTTTTTGTTGGAGCTTGGAAGTGAAAGTACAGAAAAATTCTAGAAATAGACCAATCTCAAAAGCTGTAGAAGATTGATTCGGACTACTTGATTTTGGTTTACAAGTAGACTGAGATTAAATATTTAATGTTGTAAATTAGCATACCCTTATTGATGTAGGCAGATTACAGTTCTATGAATCCTCATTCTCTACTAAATTTGATTTCCACTTCTGTTCAGCAATGCAAATATCTATAAATCAGAAAAATCAGTAAAAAGAAAAACATTGCAAGAAGATATGTTTCACATATAATCTGTATGATATCCTGTATAATGAACTAAGCTTCATATTGTCTTTACAATAGGGAAAAAGTAACTTTTAAAAAAAATTGTAAATGGTTCATAAATTGATCAGGTAAAAAGAAAATTGGTTCCAGTTAATCTTAAATTCATTTTTAACAATTGGACAAAGTATAAACTGGAGAAGTATTTTTATTATTCTAAATTATAATATCTAGACAATAACCTGAGCCCATTAAAATTAAAAATATAAATGTCCATTTTTACAACAACTATTGGCATAATCCTAAATATTATTCATTGCTGAATTATACAGGGGAACACGAAGCACTTAGGGCAAGTAAAATCTTAAAAATTGATGCATTTTTTTCAAGTAATGTTGTATTTGATTGGAATCATTGCAGATAGAACAACAAATCTCAAAAGATGAGGACAACATAGACATAAATCTTAGTTCAATCACCTAAGTTAATGCAATGCAAAGAAGAGAGAGAATGTACATTTAAAAGCTAAATGGTGCATTTCTGTGCTATCGTTTGAACAAAACAAGATTTCTTAGTGCTCTGTTACTGGTTTTGTTTTAGGAAATTTAGAGCTATCCTAAATGGAAAAGGGCCATCAAAGTTGGTATTAAATAGTAAGGTCAAATTTCATAGTAAGTACACCAAATTCCTAATCCTAACTGCTATATACTGTGCTCATTAATACATTAAGAGAGTCTTGTGAGGACCCTATTTTTCATAAAGGGAAAAGTTACTTTCTGATATCTAAAGCTTTTAAGCCAGTGAGCCTGCTGTCTGAAATAATAAAAGAGAAAGGTTTGCTCTGGTGGGAGTGGGGTAGGGGGAGGGCAGCAAAAGGTTAGTCCGTGATAGGTCTGATCCTTGAGCAGGATCTGTCCTAAGACCTTATGAGTCTGTTAGGATTTTTTTGGTGAAAATATGTTAACTTTATGACTTAACTAAGGACCCTTAGTTTATCCCACAGCCCCTTATTCATTTATTCCCACTGTACTGGTCAAGCATTTAAAAAAAAAAAACAAC